TAAGTTTTAGTTTTTTTGGTAGTTTTAGTCAAGTTTAATTTTTGCTCATATTTCTGGACTCCCATGTCTGACTTGACAACAAAATAGGTGTATATAACTTTAATTATAGTTTTATATTCTTCTAATATTAATAATATTAGCAATCCTTTAACTGTGACATTCTTTGTTGTTCTGTGTTTGCGCTGCTTTGCCTAGTTCATGAATTATCACCTGACGTCACCTCACATTCTAACTTACTATACATAACCTAACTTGTCCGCCATGTTGAGTACCTGATTCGGCGAGCATTGCTAAGTCTGTTGCAAACAGTGTTCGGGGCAGTAACGGCGTATTAACGTATAACGGCGTTAACTTTTTCAGTAACGGAGTGAATCTAACTTGATTACTTTTCCCATCCATCTGCAACGCCGTTACCGTTACTGAGAAGTAAAATGTATAAGTGCGTGTTACTTGCCGTTACTACAATGTGGTTGAATGAAGGTTAAACGATGATAACATACGAATCTTTCCCCAACAGTATTAACTAAGCAATCCAGCCTGTGAATTGGTTTATATACTGTGTCTGAAACCCAGCCATGAGTCTAGCGTCAAATGTCAGTTTATCGTTTAATAAAAACGTGTTACAATATGTGGGTTAGAGACATCACCATCAGTCCATTAACGTTAGCCTGAGATATTTGTTCAAGCCCTTAGAACCAGTTTAAGATTATAGCCCGAAAACACCACCATCTCTTTTTTGTGTGTTGGTGTGCTTTTAATGGTTTTTAGTGGTAACATGAGTTTAATGGCCCACAGCCCTTCCCCTCTGCTCTCCGTCCTGTAACATTATTCTAACACATATCCTCAGCGGCATATTAATTCAAGTGCTCCTTAAGAAACTGGTGACATTAGCAAGTGGTTAGCTAATCTGTTAGCACTATAACGTTGGCAGCCTAACGATGATATTTTTTGGAAAGTAGCGTTCTTTTCATGGAAGTCGGGTGCGAAAAGTTGTCTTTCCGTAGCCCATTTACTGTATCCAATACGAATCCGTAAATCGTAGCAAACTAGCTAAGCTGTCAGTACTGTCTATGCCGGTGCTCGGATAGGTACTCCAAGATGGCGCTAGTAAGCTGGGAAAAGACGGATACGTAAAAGTCACGTGACTGATATTCATGATTGCTGCTGTGTCCAAAATGATCTCTTAGGGGGATACATACAAAGGAATTATCTTATCTGTGTATCTTATCTTAATAATTTTGTGTCACATTCTAAATGACACTGGAACTCGTTCCCATATTAAAATGCATCCTCCTCCCTGAATCGTATCGTAGCCAGTGGATCTAGATACATATTGGATAATCTTAAGGGAGAGATGGACACCCCTAGGTAAAATGTTACTGATAGAAAATGATGGACAAAACTATGTAACTAAGACTGAAGTTGTAATAAAGTAGAATTAGCCCTTTAGTTGCTGTGTAATTAATTGAAGGCTGTGTGTGAGGTTGTGCTTGCTCTACCAGCCACACGTGTCCCAGGGTGTCCACTGTGAGTCTGGGCAGTGACCCTCCCTGCTGGCCATTAATGGCATATATTAGATCATTTGCCGTCCATTAGCTAATATGCCAGTGCCACTTAAGAGGAGTGGCCAGGGTGCGTACAGACATTGCACACCCATGCAGGAGATGTGACCCCCGGGGACTCCTGACAGTTGAATTAATCATAGAGGCCGGGGGTGAGGGCAGTTTCTTCAACAACACACCGGGTTTGCTGGGTGGAGGACACAATCGGTGGTTATTTTTTCAGCCAGGGCTAGTCATTTTTTCAGTGAAACAATGGTGCCGGTTTGAGTCCAGCCTGCTGTCCACTGTATTATAAAGCTGGCAGCAGTAAAAAACACCAGTGGTATGGCCAGGATCGTACTGCAGTCACTGAATAGTTAATAAACAATGTACAATGTACTGTGAATGCAGTGTCCTTGGTTCAAATCTGGCCATGGCCCTCTCGCTCCTTAATTTCGGTCACCTCTCTACTTTCCACCCACAGATCAAGGCAGAAATGCCCAGAGACTCACTAGTTGGTAACCTTGTGTGGCAGCAAGAATCCATCTTGCCAGGCTTCAAGCTATGTGCTTGTGTCCAGCCACAGTGGTTCGGACCAATCAGGGTCCTTTGAGAAACTACTGGCAGCTACATAATGAGCTAAGGCGTGGTTTAACGCTAGGTGTGTGTGTGTGACGACGAGTGTTTGCTAGAAAACAACAATATGTCTGCACTAGTCAGCAGCACCAACAAACTAAAAAGCTATGGGTATTCTTGTGATTTCTCTATTTTATTTCCAGATTATTTTAATACTTCAGGCGTTATGATGAACAATTATATAGTTATGTGTTACCTAATGCGAAAATAAGCAGGGCTTTTTATTGGCCATTCATTGTGAATGCGCACTAATGTAAAAAAAAAACAGAACTCTTCTGTGCCTTTTTAGAAGACTAGACTTGAAATGTTCTATGTTAAAATGAAAATCTGTATCCCACTGGAAATGTTCGCACTTGCCCTTGAACTTCACGTCATGTCGCTAGCTGCTGCTCATCCAGACACACAATACAGTTAAGCGGATAGGCTTCCTTTATGGTAACATGAGCAGGATTCCCACGTGTCCTGGAATACCTGGAAATCTAGAGGGTAGTTTTCCAGTCATGGATACACCTAAGTTGATCTAAAATGATCGGATAAACTGGAAATAATCCCTGTTTTCCTGGAAAATTGTATGTTAGTCTGAGCTGTGGCCAAATTAACGTTAAATGTTAAAACTGAAGTCAGTTGAGACACGGAGCCTCCCTTGAATCAAGTGCTGTCCTGGATTGTCAAGAAAATGTCCCGGAAAGGAAAATTATTTCTTAAAAAGAATGGGAACCCTGAATAGAACAGATACATTTTCTGCCAAAATGCAGGAGAGAAATAAATAGTTTAGACTGTAGGAAACCAAAGTTATCACAAGTGTGTTTAATGAAACTGTAGTTGGAGGTGGATGACAGTGACTGGCTGATGGTAGATGTTTGGGTCCAGTATCAATGGATAAATGAGCCTGGCAGTGTGTTCTTGTCTGTACATGTCTTTCCTCTTCTGTAGTGTCACTCAGGGTTTGGGAGCTTAGAGCACTCCTGGCTTTGCCTTCTCATCCCTGATACCCATGTCTTGGGTGACATCACCCGTCTCAGAAGGTGCTACATCATTTAGCACAAAGCTGCTGTCGAGCATTGGCGCTGTGAAAAACGCCAA